CTTGTCATAGCTTGTCCTTGTCAACTTTGGCCTTGAGTTGGGTTGAGGGACATTCCCGATAGCAGACCTCTTCATTGCAGGCTATCTGGGGAGCATTCTGTCTTAGACAACTTGGCTGTAATGGCCTGAAGAAACCCAGGAAGTGACTTCATCTGGCCAAGTGTCCAAGAAGGTCCCTTCCTCGACTGGGACGTGAGGGCTGTTGGGCCATTCTTGGGGTTATGTCTCTGTTTGGTAGAGAACTTTTCTTCATAACCCCCAAAATGAAAATTTCACCAAGCCAACTATTCAAGTGTTGGCTTTTCATGTTTTGTGAGTTCCTGGATAATACAAACAGTTAAGCACTCAACTATGAGTCAGAAGCTTGGCACTCAAACCCACCAGTTCAACTCAGGAGACAAACCTGGCAACCTACTTCCAAATTCACAGCCAGGAAGCCCTTTGGTCATGTTCTCTTCAGCACTGAGCAGGTCACCACGAGTTGGAATTAACTCAATAGCAATTAGCCATCATTTAGTATAGACTTGTGGTGCTGTATCATGTGCCGCAGAACAAAATACTCCAAAAATCTGGTTTGATTTTTTAACTGGATAACCCAGCTAGGTCGAAATGATGTTGAGGTCATTCAAGCCTCTCTGGGGCAGCTACTGGTGGGAGAGTGAACCTTGGAGTCAGTTAGCCAGCCCCTCCTCAACACTTGTTGTTACTCTGTGGTTAGGGTTCTCTCTGAGCTTCCTGATTCCTGAATTCGTGAGAAAATGTGGGCTTCTCAGAAAACTGCAGAGAACGGGAAATTGTGTCCATGTGTTTTCCTTATCTGGAATTGTGTGTTTTCGACCGGATGATCAGAGACCAGTTAGAAACACACCCTGGCCGTTTTTTCCATTCTTTTCCCACCAAAATCATGGGAATGCAATCAGTGAGTTTTCTGTGGATATTAATTGTTCAGGTGTAGAGCTATGCTGTCTCCTTCAGGGGTAAGCCACAGTTTGTTTGTGATTTGAGGTCTTGGAATTGTGGGGAGTGAAGAGACGTCTAGGTCTTTCATACCTCTGTGTGGAAGGTGTCTCATTTTGTTTCTGTGCGGGTACGGCAGAGCTAATTTATTCTCCCTTTATAAGTTCGTTTGTTTTTGCCTTAAAACACATTTACAACGTATATTCACAACACTTAGCATTTTCATTTTTCATGTCACATTGCAAAAGTGTGAGAGATGACCCCTCTCCTGAAGCTTGCTTCTTCCTGCCTCGGTGAGGTCTCTAGATGTCTTTGGGGACAGTTAAATCCGTGACTCAGCACAGCTGGGCAGCAGGCGGGGACCCTGCTCTGATCCAAACATTTTTCTTGTAAAAATCTGTTTGGACGATCCCAGACGGATGGGAATTTGTTGTATAAAAGATGCGTCCCTCAGGAGTATGTGGCTGGAAACGCGATTCTAAGCATCTTTAGTCATCTCTGCTTTTAGCTACATGTGTGTGCATTCTAACTTTAGGCAGTCCATGTGGCTCACTGGAAATCCAGCACTCCCAGTCCCCGGGACTACTTGAACCCCACTTCCCTCTGCTACATTTTATTGCCAAAACAGAGCCTTTGGTTTTTTGTTTTTAATGTGCGTTTTTTAAGACCACCCTTCATGAATTGTTCTCCCCCACCCCTTAAGTTGTCTTTGGGATTAATTCACAGCAGAACATAAGTGTTTCTTGGGACAGGGGAGTCATTAAAACATAAGCCACCTCAGAGGCTGCCTTAACTGGGGTTGGGCTTCTTGTCCCCTCTGCCTGCATCGTAGCCATCCTCACACTTGGTATAAAATGCGCCTGGTCTTCTCGACTGTTTCCCTCTTAATAAATCCCTCTTCTCTAGTGATATAGTGCGATCTAACCCCTTAACACCTCCCCCTCAGCACTGTCTCTTTTGGTTCTCTTTCTTTGTCTTTGTTCCTTTCAGGGTTTCTTCCTAAAACCTTGTGTCTCTCTCCAGCAGCATGGGCTCCTCCCTTTGCCATGCTCTTGTCTCCAGATCGTCTGCATCTTCTGTGACCTCTGACTGGAGTTGTAACTGATCAGCCACAAGAAGTAGCTCCGTATTTAGACTACTCAGTTTCCCCACCAGAAGAGTTAAGCAGTTCCTGCTTGAAAGCCTCGTCTCATCACCAAGTGGATTCTGTTATTTGGCCAGAAAGGCACACCCCGGAGACACTGAATCTAGTAGGATCTTCTAAAAGAACCAGTATATTCTTTAGAGTTCTCCAGATGTCCTGATGCAACCTCAGATAAACCACCCTTAACTGGCTCCTGTTTCAGAAAGGGATTTCGTTTGTTTATTTACTTGCTTTGTTTCATATTGATCTTGACTTTTTCTAATCCTGTAATTAATGATGCAGCAGTTAGGTTACATTTCTAAGGATTTTCCAAAAGGAAGTGAAAACGTATCACATTGTTAAGAAGGCTTTACATAAAGATGTGGGGGAAGGGGTCTGGGACTGGTTTCTCTGGAGAAGCAAAATCCATGAAATACACACACACACATTCTTGCTGTTAAGTGCCATGGAATCTGCTCACATATATACACATATGTGATACTGTTATTGTTTTGTATCATTGAGTCCGTTCTGACTCATAGCGACCCTGTAGAGGGTTTCCAAGGAGCAACTGGTGGATTTAAACCACCGACCTTATGGTTAGCAGTCCAGTGCTTATCCTATGGTATCACATCAGGAATGCATGTGATATGTGTATATGTATGTTTTGTTTGCTTGTTAAGTGCTGTCAAGCCTATTCCAACTCATAGTGACCCTGTATAGAGTTTCCAAGGAGTGGCAGGTGAGTTTGAACCACCAACCTTGCAGTCCAGTGATTATCATACAGTGCCACACCAGGACTCCATTTGTGTGTGTGTGTGTTTGTGTGTGTGTGTATTTATATGTGTATGTATGTATGTGTATGTGTGTATAGATATGCATATATAGATGTTGTTGTTAGGTGTCATCGAGTTGGTACCTACTTATAGCAACCCTATGCACAGCAGAGCGAAACACTGGCCGATCCTGGGCCAGCTTCACTATTGTTGCCACGCTTGAGCCCATTGATGCTGCCACTTTGCCAGTCCATCTCTCTGGGGATCTTCCTCTTTTTCTCTGACTCTCCACCTTATCAAACATGATAATCCTTCTCCAGTGACTGGTCCCTTCTGACACTATGTCTGAAGTATGAGAGATGAAGTTTGGCCATCCTGGCCTCCAAGGAGCACTCTGGCTGCACTTCTTCCAGCACAGATCTGTTGGTTCTATGGGCAGCCCATGGAACTTTCAATATTCTCCTCCAACACCAAAACCCAAAAGCATCAATTCTTCTGCAGTCTTCCTTATTCACTGTCCAGCTTTCACATACATATGAGGTTATTGAAAATACCATGGCTTGGGTCAGCTGCACCTTAGTCCTCAAGCTGACATCTTTGCTCTTCAACACTTTAAAAAGGTCTTGTGCAGCGGATTTGCCTAATGCAATACGTCGTTTGATTTCTTGACTGCTGCGTCCATGAGTGTTGATAACTGAGCCAAGAAGAATGAAGTCCTTGACCACTTCAATCATCAATATATATATGCATGTACATGGAGTCCTGGTGTGGCTTTGTCAGTTAATACGCTGGACTTCAAGGTGGTTTGAACCACAAGTTCAGCAGTTCAAGCTTACCAGCTACTCCTTAGAAAAACTAGACAGAGTTGCTATGGGTCGGAACTGACTCGACAGCACTTATCAACTATACGTGTGTGTGTGAATGTGTGTATGTATAGATGCATGTATGTGTGTCTGTATATATGCATATATATGTATCTGCGTATCTGTATATATATATATATATTTATGTATGTATGTGTGTGTATGTATATATATATCCACCACTCGTCTGTCAGTTTGTCATACTCTGGTAGCTTGTGTGTTGATGTGATTCTGGAAGCTATGCCACCGATATTTTAAATACCAGCAGGGTCACTCACAGTGGACAGGTTTCAGATGAACTTCCAGATGAAGACAGACTAGGAAGACGGAGTGACGAACTACTGCCTTGGTATTTTCAATAATCTCATATGCATATGAAAGTTGACCAGTGATTAAAGAAGACTGTAAAATGGTTGATACTATGGGTTGGTAACAACTCAACACATAACAACAGTGTGTGTGTGTGTGTGTGTGTGTGTTTGTTGTTTGGTGCCATCAAGTTGGTTCTGACTCAAGGAGCAGCTGGTGAGTTTGAACCACCAACCTTATGGCTCAAACTGACCTTGAGGTCGAGTGCTTATCCTATGGTGCCACACCAGGACTCCAGATACAGATACACATTTATATTCATATAAATTTATATATGTGTGTGTATATACATATATAGAGAGAGCTATGTATCTCAAGGAAATGGCTGATGAGTTGTAGAGGCCGTCAAGTCCCAAGGCTATGAATTGGATGCCAGGCTGGAGATTTGTCCTGACTCCAGAGCTACAAGGCTGAAAACCCCAAGATCAAGTAAGACAGCAGCCCACTGACTCAAGTCCCAACACCCAAAGATAAGATGATGACGAGCTGGAAGCAGGATCCAGAGTAAGCAAAAAACTAGCGAGCTCTGCCAGAATGTTCATGTATACTGGGTACAGATAACAACCCCCACCCCCATCCCCACCGGAGGAAACAGATCGCCATCGCTTTTAACTGATTGGCTGCTCAGGCCGCCCTCATCATGGAGGTGATTACATTGTGGCAGATCCTCTTGCTGGGTGGTTACATCATTCTGGAACTTCCGAAGTACGTTGTAACTGCCAAGCCACTGAGAATCATGACCCAGCTAAGCCGGCACCCAGCCTAGCCATATCGGGGTAAGGAGGTGAACTTGTAAATGGAGCAGAGACATGGGAACCTGCTGGTAATGTGCTATAGATACTCACCTTGAAGTGGTAGGATGGGGAGATGAGAGACTATCAGGGAAATTAAGCTCATGCTTATTTTTGGCAGCATAAAAGAGAGACCCTTAAGATGACCAAGTACGTAGAGCTGGTCATTGTAGCGGACAACCGAGAGGTAAGAACATTTTGAAATTTCTCATAACGGTTCAAAAAATGAAAACGGTTAGCAAGTTGCTCCTTGCTTTGCTCAACCTCATTTCCTGCTAATGTTGTTGGAAAAAAAGTCTCTGGAAGAGTAGTTTTCTGATCTTGTTAATGTAAAATCTGTTTAACTGGGTTATCTGATATTATAGAATAATAGCAAAGACTGCAGAAAAAGTATCGGTTGTGCTACAGCTAAGCTTTTCAGTGAGGAGGGGTGGGTTGTTTGGGGGGTGATGACGGGTGGCTTTAGGTTGTATTCTAAAACAGTCTGGGGAAAAGCTGGCTTTACAAAATGTCTGATACACCTAAACTAAATAAATGAAAGAAGGAGGGCGTTGAGACAGAGCAGAAAAAAACGTAACTCTCACAGATAGGAGCTTCATGGTATGTTAGTTTTTTCTTGAATTGTTTGTTTTTTTAAATTGTTTTCATAAATAACCTTGACTTGTTTAAGTTGTGTGCTGACGAGAGGGTCTGTATAGGACAGAGTAAAACTACCCCATAACGCTTCCCCAGGTCTTTCTCCCAGGGACCCAGCGATGGGTTCAAACCCCCAGCTTTTAGCTTAGTGGCCAAACGTTGAACCCCATTGTGCCACCGGGCTCTGGTATGCGTTCAGTGGCATTTTCCCATGGACTTAAGAAAGGATAACCTTCAGCACATAGACATGAAACAGACTTCAATGTTTCTCAGAAAGCTGCTCCCATTCTAAAAGTCAGACTGGAGAAGGGAAGGGGAGAGCTGGTTGACGCTGCTGTTTTCTCTCTGTGTTGGTTGACTTGTTGCCATGGGCTTCCATAACTTTTACTGTTTAATTTTTTAAAACTAAATAACAAGACGTTTTCTCAGGAAGTTAGAACCGAGCTGACGATATGAAAAATGACTTTGGGCTGCCTGCTCACTGTCTGTTTTCTCTTTGCCAAGTCTTGTCACGGCCTCCCTTGTTTGTACGTCCGTGAACTGTCTTCTGAACGTTTGTCTTAGGCGACGGTCAGGGTGTCCCCCAGCAGGAAAATGCTTGGCAAGGTGCACACCCATTTCATCCTAACCCTGGGAGGGGTCCTGTTATTGGTTAAGCCCAAGACTTCATTGTTTCAGGAGCCAGAAAAATTAGATTTGACTGATGTTTTTGCTGTGATTAATACTGACATTCAAAATTGTTAGTTTCAGAGGCAAGGAAAAGATCTGGGAAAAGTTAAGCAGCGATTAATAGAGATCGCTAATCACGTTGACAAGGTAAGTTCTTTTCTGGGTAATTAAATCACTCAAATCGTGTAAATGTTTGGGAAAGCGGTGGAGGGTATTCAAGGCCCTCCTCTGACTGAGTCAGGCAGAGCAAGAGTTCTGGAACACCATTTCCCAGTCCTCCGAGCATGTACTTCCTGATCCACTGCAGCATCAGGAGACACCAACCCAACTCTTCTAGACAGTTCCCATGGGGATACCTTTCCCTCTAGATGCTCTTCTGTCTCCCCAGGTAAACTCAGAACTCCATAGAGTATTTCTGACCCTGTTGGAACTCCTCCCATGCTGGGTCTCTTCCCGGGAATCCCACCAACCCATTGCACACCAGAGACCTCTGCTTCCCTGCGCCCATGCGACTTGGGCTAAACCCTCACTTAAAAGAAAATCCTCAGGCTGCACTGTCAGGGGACACAGAATTTGGATCGAGGCTCATTCACATATTGTAAAGTCCCTCAGTAGGAAGTGAGTAGGTCAGGAGTTCACCTCGTGTAGAGATGGAAGAGGTCTTGAGGGGCAAAGAAACACAGAGTGTAGCTCACTAACTTTTCCTTACACCACCATCCAAATCCCTATCCTTCATCTACATGAGATACAGGAGTGAGTTCCCACTTCCCCATCCTTCATCTACATGAGATACAGGAGAGCGTTCACACTTCCCCATCCTTCATTCGAGATACAGGAGAGCGTCCACACTACATCCCGTCCTTCATCCACATGAAGTACTGGGAGAGCATTCACACTGCCCCCGTCCTTCATCCACACGAGATACAGGAGAGAGTTCACACTTCCCCATCCTTCATGCGAGATACAGGAGAGAGTTCACACTGCACCACATCCTTCATCCACACGAGATACAGGAGAGAGTCCACACTACATCCCATCCTTCATCCACATGAAGTACCGCGAAAGCGTTCACACTGCCCCCATCCTTCATCCACACGAGATACAGGAGAGCATTCATACTACACCCTGTCCTTCATCCACATGAAATACCAGGAGAGAGTTCACACTGCACCCCGTCCTTCATCCACAAGAGATGCAGGAGACAGCTATAGTTGGTATGTGGTAATCTCTTCCAGGCTGACAGGAGGTTCTGTAACTTCTTGCACCTGGGATTGCAAGGGACCTTTGAGAAGCACCGGTGCATGACTCTGGAATGGGGCCTGGGCATCAGTGGCTTCAGAAGCAACCCAGGTGATTCTGGGTACGGCTGAGCCAGCACCCTGTGTCCGGAAGCTGCTATATCTCTCACCCTGCAGCCTGCCTGCCTTGTTGGTGTGAGGAGGAGAAAAGGGGGCTGCTGAGCCCCCACAGTCAGGATCCTATGAAACAGTTGCACTTTTCACAAATGCTAAAGCTGTGTTTCTATTCCATTGTATTATATTCTTGAAGTTTCAGAAAAGTGGAGTTTAAAGGCTCTTAGAAAAATTCAGTTCCATTCTGCAAAGCGTCTTGAACCACACCAAGTACAAGTATTCAGAATCAAGCAGGTGTGGTCCTTCCACTGGTGGGGAGCTCAGGGCAGTAGGGAGTGGGCTCATAAAGCACTTAGTCCCCCATGCGATAGAAACCGTGTGCATGAATTGAATTGGATTCCAAGGGGCCTACAGAAGACTCTCACTTCTGGGGCCCAGGGCAGCCTTGCAGGGAGGGAATTCTGAAAGGTGAGTCCGATCTCAACAGCTGCTCACAAGTCTGAGTAGCTCCACATGACTAAGAGAGGTATGTGTGTGCACACAAATGCATGTACATGCGTGACTAGCACGGGGAGGTGAACCCGCAGAGCCATCTTGAATTGATGCTGCCCTTGGTGGAGACCCAGGTAGATGTTTGCAAGCAGGGAAGAGACACATAGGATGGTACAACCAACAATATGCCTATAATGAGTGTGGAGCATGAAATAGCTTAAGACAAATGGGACAGGTGGGAGTCTATTGACCAGAACAAATAAGAAAATGATTAAGACCCAGACCAGGGCCCAGAGTGTGAGAAAGATGAGGGTTTAGAGGTGTTTGATGGGAAATAATTGCTAATAAATATCTTGATTACTACCTACAGGCTCTGAGTGCTTGGCAGACATCTCAGGTGGTGCTCCCATGCCCACTATTACAGCAGAGGATGCTCTGTAGTGAGTTGGTAGGTAGCTGGCACCTGCACATGCATTATTGAAAGCGGGACAGAAGTAAGTCCTTGTGTCTCTGACCCCCGGCAGGGCTCTTGGCCTTGCTTGGCTCCACCTCCTATGAGTCTGACCCAACAGAGGAGGATTGTGTAGGCTGAGGAGAAGGGATGTCCAAGGAACACCCAGGAGTTTTGTCATTGTGGAGTGACAGATGGTACCACCCTCCCACCACCAGGGGATGGAGGGGAGCAGAGACAGGCAGGAGGAGTTCTATGAGATACTGCACTGGTAGCGTAGTGGTTACGAATGGGCTGTGAACCACAAGGTCAGCAGTTTGAAACTACCAGCTGCTCCACGGGAGAAAGAGGAGGCTTTCTGCTCCTGTAAGATTTACAGCCTCAGAAACCCTGTTCAGGGTCACTAGGGATCGGAACCGACTCTACAGCACATAACAACAACAACAACGGAGCAACCAGAGAGCTGGCTTGAAGTCTGGAGAGATGACACTAGGATGGAATTTCCCAAAAGTCAGAAAACCCTGAATGGAGCAAACATCCTGGAGAAACATGGCATTTGAGATTTGCTCATACTCCTGGGCAACCTGTGTGTGTTGATGTTTTTTCAGTAGCTACTCTGCAAGTTTATCTTTATCCCAAAATGAAGTGGATGTCGTTCTGGAAGAGAGAGCCAAGGCACATAGATCCTGCACAGTTATGTCAAGAGACAACACAGGAGTTAGAAGTAGGTCTGCGTGCTGGTGGGGCATGGAGATGCCTTGTTGTTATTATTGATAGGTGCCATTGAGTCGGTACCGACTCATAGCGACCTTATACACAGAACGAAACACTGCTCGATCCTGGGCCAACCTCACTATTGTTGCCACGTTGGAACGCATCGATGCTGCCACTTTGCCAATCCATCTTGCTGGGGGTCTTTTGCTTTTTCTCTGACCCTCCACCTTACCAGACATGATACCTTCTCCAGCGACTGGTCCCTCCTGACAATATGTCCAAAGTATTAGAGATGAAGTTTGGCCATCCTGGCCTCCAAGGAGCACTCTGGCTGCACTTCTTCCAAATGCAGATCTGTTGTTTTATGCATCCTATGTTTGCTTTTTAAATACTGGCCCCCAAGTCTTGTCTCCATGGTGTTGATGTGATTGGCCCTGGGTGGGACAGGCAGGAGATTGATGAGAACCACCCATGGTGCTGTTGTGATGCCTGAGCTGGGAGTAGCAGCCACCCCGTACCCTGGAGGGTCCGGAGACAGTACAAATTGAGAGGATGTGAGTTCTTGTTAGATGTTGAAAGTAAAAGGAAAACACAAGCTGTATTAAACCCAGATTGAGAGTTGATGAAATCTCCTTTTAAAAACTGGTGCTTGGTGTTCTGTGTTTGTGCTTGTCTGCATGTTATTCTATATTACACCTTGCTCAGTTTGCAAAACCAGAAAGGGGTGATTGAGGGCTTGTTAAGATAATTAAAGACCCAATGGACGTTCCTGCAGGTGTGGTTGCTCTTAGCTTCCGGTGTGAGCCCCGCACTGGCAGCACCATCTGTCCCTAAAGACCTCAATAGGAAAGGCCGGGCTCCTTAGGATGCACTGATTTATCAGCGTCCATTAGCCAAGGTTCCACATTTCAGTTTGACAACTTTACAAATGGAAGTGTCTCAGTCCAAACACATGACAACCGTTCCAAGGCGGCTTCATATTTGCTGGAATTCTGACTCCTCTTGGCCACTCTAAATAACTGTTTGGCCCACACTGACTTGAAGAAAAGAAAGGTCATTCCAGACCGGAAGACAGAGAAGTGATATTGTGGCCAAGGTGACATTCAGGAAATTCCTTGTATTGGTGAAACACTAAGCATGTCTGACGCTCACACTTCCAGCCAGCCCTTCATGACTGGCGCACAAAGACATCTCCCCGGGTCCTGATTCAACAGCCTGTGGGCAGCATTGCCTTCCTAATGAAGTGATGGCTGAAGCTTTGCCCCTGTAACCTTCTATCCGGGTCCGCCCTACTTCCTACTCATTAACAAGTGAGCACCAGCTGTGACTCTTTAACACTAGCCCTCAGCGACCTTCTGAAGAACCTCCTCTTCTGAGTTTAATTTCTTCCGGTAACGTTCATTCTGAACGTGGCAGCTGTGTTGCCTTCTCAGCAAACTGCCTGAAGAACACAGGCACCCTAGTTGGACCTCAGGGAGATTGGCCTTTAAGCCTACCCTTTTTGCCCGGATCCCCTTCTTCCAGAAGGTGGAGCACAGAGTCTCTGTCTGTACATTTCTTGGTGACTCTATGTGTTACAGTAAACTGGAAAAATGGCTAAGTGTCCTGTGATTTTGGCTTCCTGGTGACTATGAGCATCTTCGGTATAGGAGTGGACACATCCAAAACACACAGATGTGTTTTGCTGCTGTGTTTGTAAACACCTCAAGTCAGCCATGTCTCTGACCATGTTCACATATACTTTGGGACTTGTGAGCCTGCAAGCTTCGTCTGTGTTGTCCTCAGCATTGCTGCTTAATGCTTTAATGTCAGCCCCCACCTTTCACTTCTGCCCTAACTCTGGGCAAGTTACTTAACCCTTCATCCCTCAAGGCCATTGACTAAGAAATAGTGACCCTGGTTCTTAAGTCTGGGGCATCAAGGAAGTACAGCAGGGAAGGCCCTTCCCCGCTGTCCCTAGCACACTGTCGGTGCTCACTCCGTGTTAGCTGCGATTATTGCTAAGGAAGAGCCAACAGGAGCCCGTCAGCAGTCCCAGCGAGAACCTTTAGAGGAGGCAGGAGAGAAATTGTAGGCACATGATGAACTGAGATGAGTTAGGTACACGTAACAGTTAATTGTAACACCACGTTTGGAAAACACAGGCTGCCAATGATGCCATAGGACAAACTAAAGTTGTGGTGTGAAAGAATTGGTGGAAGTGGCAAACCCAGCATGGCCACAAAGAGCCAACAGGGAGAGATGATGGCCACTGGTCCTTCACAGGCCATGGTTCCTGACTCCCTGGCAGCAGAGAGCACAGCCCACCGCACAGTGACACTGTGCCCTGCGAGGGGAGCTGGCCCTGCAGACATCGCTGAGCAGACAGGTGCAAGTGTCTACAATGGCTCTCCTGCCCTTGGTTCACCATCACCTTGTCCTTACCTAGAGCCGAAGCTGAGCCTGTCGGCCCCAGGACAGCAGCCAAACATGTGCTTATAATCCCAAGGGTTCCAGGAACTTCATTTTGCAAAGTCTGCACTGGGAGCTTGCAAGTAAAAGGCCAAGCAGCTCTTGATTCAGAGCCAGCTGTTGGCTGGCCGTTTGGCCGTGTCATTGTCTCATTAACTTGTTAACGTCAGGCCCTTAATTGTTATCTTTTTGGAACCAAGTTGGAGGGCTGCAGTCGGTTTACGTTCTGTGTTGAGTCATTGCTCCCGTCATTGTTCAATGCTCCCGCCATTGTTCCTGTGAACCTAATCACTTCCAGATGAGTGTGGGGAGAGGATGAGCCCCCTCATGTGGGCTGGGATCAGGGGCACATGCTCCACCTTGGTGTGCTGCTTGTGCTAAAGCTCTTGGCACCGGAATTGTGCTTACCAGGGATTGTGGCGCTTCTGTGTTGGGTATGTGCCTCCAGGACCCAGGTGCTCCCAGCAACTGAGAATCCCCATTCTTCTCCCATTGGAGCTTGACACGGGCTGGGGTCACAAGTGACGCTTTTTGCCGGGCTACGTGGACTGCAGCAGGTGCACCTTTCTCGTTGTGTACCACCTGGCACTCTGTGGGCATTGAGAGACTCCATAACCATCAAGCCCTGGACCTGCCCCATGTCTATAGGATCCATGAAGGGGCAACAAGGTAGCTGGGAGCAGTGGAGCTAGTCCATGCCCTGACCCTGACCACTCACCCCACCTGGTGTGACCAGCAGGGACAATACACACACAGATGCACTGAGAGAACATGCTGTGTGAACTATTGACAACAAGACACAATTGTATGATCTCACTCATCTGAAATGTCTAGAATAGGTCAGTGTGCACAGGAGCTCTGGTAGCATAATGGTTACAAATCGGGCTGTGAACCACAAGGTCAGCAGTTTGAAACTACCAGTGGTTCCATGGGAGAACGATGAGGCTTTCTGCTCCCGTAATGATTTACAGCCTTGAAAACCCTAAACAGGGTCACTATGGGTCGGAACCGACTCCACGGTACTTAACAACAACAACAACAACATGCACAGGGGCTTCAAATCCTCTGCCTTTCCACTCCATTTTCCCACGGACTTTTTGAAGCCCCCTTTAAGACCCAAGGAGTTCTGGTGGCACAATGATTGAGCACTGTGGGTTGGGAGTCAAAACCTCCCGTCACTGGAGAAGTAGCTATTCTTCCCTCTGTCCCAGGCTACCTGCCTGCTGAAGTTGTGTGGCAGGTAGAAATCAGGAATGTGTAAGAATTCCTGATACCTGCAGAACACCTACAGTCCAGAGAAGGGATGATGGAACTTTCTGCGAGCAGCTTCATAAGCCTGGGAAACTTAAGTTTCCTCCACTTATGAGGTCGCTCCCTTGGCAGTGGGTGAGCTAGCGTTTGGCTGCAGGGAGAACAGTCGTTCATTGCTGTTCCTGGGAGGATTCGCTTCGTACCTTTGTTGTCCTGAAAGCTATTGATTTGTTCATTTAATTAACACCTCCTAGGTTGATTATAGGTGACAGATTATGATCATGTCAGCCAAGTTTGAGTCTTTGCTGAGAAATTAATGCAGACTTATTTTCAGTAGGGCACAGGCAGAACATTTTGCTTAAAATGAACAAGTTACTGTCCTTGGCAGATGTATAAGAAAACTCCTAATTCACTCATTGTTTTTCTTGCCGGAGATATTAACTGGCAGTCTTTAGCTGTAATACACATCTATATGCACATTTTAAATCGCCAGTGAATCAGTTGAAATGAATGCTCCTGTACAAATATGGGCAGACCATAAAAATGCTAATCATGGTAGCATCTAACTGATCAACATTGGAGAATCCCGCAAACACATCTCACTGAATCAGGCCCTGCAAAGATTGCTTAAATTCCAATGTCAAGGGGTCAAATAGGAGCATAAAGATATTTTTCTCACACTTGTAAATGAAGTTCCAACAATGCACACATGTCACTTCTAATCTTGGTTTTAAGCTCTTGTGAATGTGACCCCCTAAGGGCTTCCTGTCTGCTCGAAGTTTTATAGAGCGCTGAACATCCGCATCGTGCTGGTGGGCGTGGAGGTGTGGAATGACGTTGACAAGTGCTCCATAAGTCAGGATCCGTTCACGAGCCTCCACGAGTTTCTGGACTGGAGAAAGATGAAGCTTCTGCCTCGCAAATCCCACGACAATGCCCAGCTCATCAGGTAGGACACGCTGGGTCTCTCCTCTGCTTCCGAGTGCAGGAACCTCCGTGTACAGAGTTTGCTCACCCTCACCTGCACAGTCTTGGGTATGCAGACCTCTCTGCAGAATCTGTTGGCCAGGCCCAGAGAGACAGTCATCTGGACCTGGACTGGTGTGGGCTCACAGAGACACAGTCATCCTGAGCTTGACTGGTGTGGGCTCACAGAGTCACAGTCATCCTGAGCTGGACTGGTGTAGACCCAGACACGTAGTCACCCTTACCGGCACTGACATGGGCTCAGAAACAACAGTCATCCTGAGCTGGACTGGTGTGGGCTCACAGAGACACAGTCATCCTGAGCTAGACTGGTGTGGGCTCACAGAGACACAGTCATCCCGAGCTGGACTGGTGT